GAGCCATATTTGTGAATTTTTGTCCTTTTGTTCTATCAGTTTTGCTGACTGCATTTCAAAAGTCTCATTTGTTATGCCCTCTTGAGGAACTCATCTATTTAATCATTTATGAAATGACTTTCTTTTTCCCAAATATTGTTATTTGCTCTGAAATCTACTTTGAGATAAATACAGCCACTCCAGTTTTCTGATGATTAATATTAGATGATATATCTCTTAATTAATTTATTTTTGAGACAGTCTTACCATGTCACCCTGGGTAGAGTGCTATGACATCACAGCTCACAGCAACCTCAAACTCTTGGGTTCAAGCGATTCTCTTGCCTCAACCTCCCAAGTAGCTGGGATTGTAGGTGCCTGCCACAATGCCAGGCTATTTTTTTTGTTGTAGTTGTTGTTTGGCAGGCCTGGGCTGGGTTTGAACCACCCAGCTCTGGTGTATGTGGCTGGCATCCTAGCCACTGAGAGCTACAGGTGCCAAGGTAGTATGTCTTTTTCTATTACCTTATCTTTAACATATTTGTGTCTATATCTTATGATTTCTTATAAGTAACTTGTATTTTGATCTTGCTTTTTTATTCAGTGTTACAGTCTCTGCCTTTTATTTTGGGATATTAAACCTTTTACATTTAATGAGACTATTGATATGATTTGGTTTAAATCTACCATCTTGCTGTTTTCTGTTTGTCCATTTATTCCTTGTTCTTGTATTGTTTTCTGCTTTCTTTTGGACTGATAACTTTATGATTTTTAATCTCCTTTACTGGCATATTTTCTGTAATTTCGTGATTGGGGTTTTTTATTAATTACTTTAGAGTTTATTGTATATACCTTTCTTTTCCTCTTCCTTTTCTTTTTTTCTTTCTTTCTTTCTCTTTTTTTATTAACCAGACCCGGGCTGGGTTCAAACCCACCACCACTGTTGCATGGGGCGAGTTCTCTAACCACTGGGCTACAGGCTCACAGCGCCTTCATTTTTGGCATCATAGCAACCTCAGACTCTTGGCCTTGAGCAATCCTCTTGCTTCAGACTCCTGAGTAGCTGGGGACTACAAGAGTCCACCACATAACCTGGCTAATTTTTCTATTTTTAGTATAGACAGGGTCTCACTCTTGCAATAGGCTGGTCTCAAAGCAATCCACTGGTCTTGGCCTTGTACTGGGTACATAGGCATGAGCCAACATACCTGGTCTACTGTATGCATCTTTAATTTGCCACAATTTACTTTCTTTTTTGGAGAGGGGAGGTACAGAGTCCCACTTTGTTGCCCTCAGTAGAGTGTCATGGCATTGTAGCTCACAGCAACATCAAAGTCTTAGGCTAAGGCTATTTTCTTGCCTCAGCCTCCTGAGTAGCTGGGACTACAGGTGCCTGCCACAATACCCAGCTATTTTTATAGATGGGGTCTTGCTCTGGCTCAGACTGGTCTTGAACCTGTAAGCTCAGGCAATCCACCCACCTTGGCCTTCCACAGTGGTAGGATTACAGGTGTGAGCCACCAGCCTGTCCTTAGATAATTATTATTTCTTGAAATATTGTCCCTTTACCTTCAGACTCTAATTGTGTGTTCATTAGGGACAACTCAAAATTATCCAACAGCTCACTGACACTGTTATTTTGAGGTTTTCCCCCTTTTGTGTTTCATTATGGATATGTCCTATCCATAATGACTATCTTCAACTTCACTAATCTTCTGTGGCATCTAATATGTTATTAATGCCACCTGGTATATTTTTCATTTCAGATATTCTGTGGTTCATCTGTTAAAGTAGATTTGAATCTATTTCTATGTCTCTCCTTAATGTGCCCTGTGTTTTTCACCTCTATGAACATATGAACATATTTATAATATCTTTTTTAATGATATTGCCTTTTTTTTTTTTTTTTTTGACAGATCTCACTTTATTGCCCTCGGTAGAGTGCTCTGGGTGTCATAGCTCACAGCAACCTCCAATTCCTGGGCTTAGGCAATTCTCTTGCCTCAGCCTTCTGAGTAGCTGGGACTACAGGTGCCCGCCACAACGCCTGGCTAATTTTTTGTTTCAGTTTGTCCAGGGCCGGGTTTGAACCCACCACCCTTAGTATATGGGGCTGGCGCCCTACCCACTGAGCCACAGGTGCTGCCCATGGCACTGTCTTTTGATTCTATTATCTATGTCATTTCTGGGTCTGTTTCTGTTTATTTTTTGTCATCCTTGCATGTCTTATACTCTTTCATTGAATGTTAGACATTGTGAACTTTATGTTGTTTGTTGCTGGAATTTTTTTTTATTCCCTGTAGTAGTTTTGAGCTTTATTGTGGCACATAGTTAATTGGAAATAGTTTGATCTTTTCAAGGAGTTTTAAGCTTTATTAGATAGGTGTGAGCAGCCTTTAGTCCAAGGCAGTTTCTCAACCTCAGTACTATCAATATTAACATTTGGGGCTGGGTAATTATTGTCATGAGAGGCCATCTTGTGTTTTGTAGGATATTTGGTAACAGACCTGACCTCTGCCCATTAGATGCCAGTGGCACCACTTCACGTGAGCTGAGAATGATTTTTATATTTTCTAAAAGTTGTTTAAAAAAAATGCAGTAGAGACCACCATCTATGGCCAACAGAGCCAGACTACACAGAGATTTCTAACCTTGCTGTGGGAGACATTCTTTTACTATTTGAAACAAATTATAGTATGGAGGAAAAATTTTGTTTTTCCAATATAGAGAGTAGTTAAGAGCACAGACCTTGAAATTGTAAAAGATATGATTTGAGTCAGATTATGTGCCTGCCACATAATAATTCTGACATCGGGCAAATTTTGTATTTTCTGAGCCTTTTTCTTTTCTTGTAAAATGGAGCCACTATATGCTTATCACTTAGGTTCATTAGAGAACTAAATGAAAATAAAGTAGATAATTACCAGTGCACACACATAATAGCTGTTATTATTTCATTTCAGATGTGTACCCTGTATTTATCATTTACCTTGATGTGTATATATAGTTGTATGTTGCTAATTTGGATGATCATCATCTGTTTTCTTTCAGGTCATGCAGAAGGATTTTGTATGATGTGTATAATGCAGGCACATATTACCCAGGCACTCAGTAATCCTGGGGATGTTATTAAACCAATGTTTGTCATCAATGAGATGCGGCGTAAGTATTAACTATAGTATCTTACATTAATAATTTTTAGCTAAATATTAATTAGTCTTAATGGTCTAACTGGTTAAAAAAATGAACCCTTTGTGTGTTATAAAACAAACAATGTATTTTATCACACATCTGTAATTAATAAGTTTTTAGTAAAACATTTTCTGTATGAACTCATTTTGAAACTTTAACAAAAAAGATGACAATAATGAAAACAGTATTCAGCTGTTCATTTTGGGTTTTTTATTTTTTTGAGATACGGTCTCACTTTGTCATCCTTGGTAGGGTGCCATGGCATCATAGCTCACAGGAGCCTACAACTCTTGGATTCAAGTGATTCTTTTGCCTCAGCCTCCCAAGTAGATGGGACTACAGGTGCCCACAACAACGCTCAGCTATTTTTAGAGACAAGGTCTTGCTCTTGCTCAGGCTGCTCTCCATCCTTTCAGCTTAAGCAAAACACCCACCTCGGCCTTCTGGAGTGCTCCCATGTGTGAGCCACCTCACCTGGCCTAGTATTCAACTTAATATAAGCAGATTTTAAATTATTTAAAACTCCATTTGTTAATAAAATCATTGGTAAGTTTTACAGTGTTTTTCCCCGGGTATTTGGGACTTCTGTGCTGAGTAATACTGACTCTGATACTGTCCCACAGGTTTCTTTAGATAGTTTTTAATTAGTTTTAATTTGGTGAGTGAATATTATACGTAGTGATAGGAATTGTCAAAATAAAATTATTGTACTTTTTTTTTTTTTTTTTGAGACAGGTTTTCACTT